GTTAACTGTTTACGTTCTTATCCCGTTGCAACTTTCCGCAACTAACCAGGCTCCTATACGGGACCTTCACCTACCGCCCGCGCCCCAATTACGGCTAACCCACTGCCCCTGTTGTGGCTGGTTCTCGCGCCCTCTGGCGGCTCAACGCCCGCGTCGGGAACGACGATTACCACGGCCGCCGGCCGGCGCCGCGTCGACAGTCGACAGTTGTCAAGGCCGCGCCGCGATGGGCGCGTCATCACTCGCGGTGCAGTACTGGTGTGTGCGGTCTCTTCGGGCCGGGTAGATTCAACGAATGTGTCAGTGAGTGTGAATCTGGTAAAATATCGCTGCAATATCTCCCTGTTCGACATCTCATCAGCTTCATTCCACGTAAGTTTTTTTTCTAGCTCCATAGTCCGTATCCCCTTCGATCTTTCCCAAAAGATATGATTTTTCTAGTATTTATTCTACAAAAGCACAACGATCGGTACCTATATTAGTCGCATATTAGTTCTAACCACAAACAATTCTACATCTACCTATTACTCGACATTTCGCAACTACAATGACGCAAAGTACAAGGACCATCTAAAGTCGCAAAGTGTCAGACCGTCGACCTCAAACCACTACTCTCAACTCTGCACCTAAGTAACAGAAGAAATTCCGCCGTAAGCTCAAGCATTCATATCTGTTGAAAATCATAACTCAGCCATATTCATAGATCGATTGCATGAATCAGTCGCCACCTTAAAACATTACATTCCCTGTCAACCGTATTTACCTGTTCACTAATTGATTTCGACTTCGCAATTAATTCCTACAGCAATATTACCAATGATTTCGCAAAGCAACTTTTAGTGAGTACAGCACGAATCTACACCCTTAATTTCACAAACGAATTCCAACCTCAAATCTTAATCGCACCTGACTACCGCCGATAATAAATCGAACGAACTAGCTTGGCCAAACACAAAGACATATTCGTTATTCAATGCTGACACGCATCATGTCATCAATCTCAACGTTCGTGACAATGAGCTGCTTATTCAAATTTTAGCATCTCGCTCCCGGCCTAATCGTGAATTCCAACTGACAATAACGTACCTACCTATTTACTGGCGGCTCTGACATGACCTCACAATTCAGATCCTAATATGCAACTAGGGTGTCTGGACCAATAAGTTCAAAGTAATTTAAGTTTTCCAATTCCAATTGAGAGTGCATTTTATCGCAACCGAAAATGTTTGGCAGCCGTCACGGCACGGCAGGCTGGGCAAGGGGGGGGGGACAAGGATTGGGATTGAGCAGACTTTTCCGCAACACTCACATTCTGGAGTTCCTTTACGCTTCCGCTTCTCAGTGTGGTCACAAGCGTCGGCTGCTGTCCTCGGTTCTGGCCACTCGAACTGAAGAGGCTTCTCGCGGGTGACCCCGGACTGACGGCGGCTCCCAGATGGCGTCTCCGGCTCCAGCTGTGGACTGTGAGTCTCGGCTGCTCGACTGTGATTCTCCCTCTGCTTGGGTGGCGCACCCTTTTATAGTTGGGGGGGGGAGGGGTGACTGCCACGCCCTTGCGACGTCATCTTCCTCTGCCTTCTTCTGGTGGGTGGGGCCGTAAGATGGCGCCCTCTGTCCTGTTTAGTCACCTTGCTCCTCTGTGCCTGCAATTTTTTGGCCGTCGAATCGTCTTCGTGTTGAGTGCTTTAGCATTTTAGTAATCGCTGGCATAAAACAATCCCCGAAAGGTTTGTGACTTTCGAGTTTTAATTTTGATTCTTCAATTTCATTTTATTCAAACTTTTGTTTCCTTCCGTTTCGTCTGCCGCCAACGTCACTCTGTGACGTCACTCTTGCTCCGCCCACCGTACCGGGGCGTGGCCGTAAGTCAGCGCCTTCTTCCTCTGCGGAGATCTCTGGAACTACCTCATGAGGCCATTGTGAGGTCGGTCACCCGGTTGTTTTGCCAGGGTCACTCACCCTGGGTTGCTGTGCCCGACAAAGGAGGCTCTGTGCTCCAGCCGGCATCCATCCTTGACACTGCTCCATGATCTGTTGACATATCTTACTGATCCAGCGCTATTTAAGGAGGCTCGGATCGCTCATCCTGCGGTAGCTGTCTCCATAGGCGAGCGTTGTAATGAGAGTTTAACGGCTGCCCATTGCGAAGACCTCTGGAACTACAGCGTTTTTGCTTGCCGTAGGATCTTCCTGGTTTTGCCATTCCCACCGTGGGACTCAGCGCGGCGCAGCTGTTGTGGTACCTGACAGAGTACGTGACAAGTGACAGAGTAGGGTAGTGTGGGGTAATTTGAACATATTTTTACGTCTTCTCCGTTGTACCAAATTCCAGCTCAACCCTGGATGAAGAAAAACTGTTTCAGTAGCGCATGTGTCACTTGCTTTCACAATGCAGGCCTCATTTTTGGACGAGCCGAGCATACCTTGAATAGCATAGCATCACTTCTCCACCAAGTCACGGTGTGTTCAAATTGCCCCACCGTGGGGTAATTTGAACATACTGCCTTTACCTGCCATAAAAACGATAGTCTCGCCAGCACCGATGTTGTTTGACCCATAAACGAATAGGCAGAGCAATTCTAAACATACCTTCATTTGAAAAATCAACACAACAACAAAAATAAGAGTTGCAGAGTATCAATATCTGCACGCTGCACACCGGTCAGTTGCCAGAATTCGCCTCTCTTCATTTAACAGAACGTCTATCATCTCCGTTCGATAAAAACTCTACCAAACCTTACTTCATCTGTTATAGTGGTGCCAATCGGAACCTGGACATTCGGTGTTCCGATTCTTTATAATGTCAAATTTGGAATTGATTGCACAAAGGTATAGTAATCTAGACAACATTGGACGATGGCCTGCCACAGTTAAGCATTTTTATCAAGTAATCGTGCGTAGCATTGATTGGCGAATGGAAAGCTTGTTAAGCTCTCAATATAATGGACACTTTTCGGCTGGTAAAATTACATGATAAGCAATATAAATGACGGTTTCGAGTGTTGATAGCTGCATAATTTTCGGACATATTTGGACAAATAGTTGACTTTAACATTTTTGGACGGAAAATCAACGAAAATGCCGGACATTAGACGGATATTAGACGTAAATTTTCTAAAACTGGCATCACTTATCTGCTACTGCTTTCGGTCGAAAACATTGGCAAAAAAACTGGGAGCGTTGTTTTTTCGGAGCTATCCCTGTCTTCATTGAAATTCTCACACTATGTTCAAATTACCCCACGCTAAAAGTTATTTTGCCATTTTAAAAAACAGGGTTCAAAAGCAAATTTCTTGGATTGAAGGCACTGATTAGGTCATTGCACAACAAAAGCCGTTGCGTATTAGGCGCTAGCAATGCAAGATTTTGCGGTGCAATGAAGTTGCAATGACGTGTTGTTAGGCGTTTATCCTTGCGAAATTGATTTTTTACACTGTGCATCAACACCTTCATTCCCTGAAACTTTAAACCCCGTTCATATGATAGCCCTTTTAGTTACGACAATTTCTCTCATTGGTCTTATTGTCATGCCACTTATGGATTTTCCGTCATTTTGTGTTATTCACACTATGTTCAAATTGTCCCACATGTTCAAATTACCCCACCCTACCCTACCTTAACGTGCTCGCTCGCCGCCGCCGCCGGCCGCAGTCCTGACGTAGCTTGTTGACTCAGCTGTGCCTCGGCGGTTCGTACTGATGTGACCGGCATCGTCTTCTCGCAGATGTGTCTACTGCGGGCTATTCTCACGGACAGTGCTCGTTGAGGGGGTTGAGGAAAAGTGCTGAATGGGGATGGCGGGCCTGATGACGGGGGGGGGTAGTGAATAATGAGAGGGGAGGAGAGCGCAGCAGCAGCGCTCCGCTCAGCTGTGCGTCACCCGGTATGCAGCGATGGGTGTGTGAATGGAGGGCTAGGCCTGTGACCGGACTGCGAGGGGGGGGGGGACTGCCGGACCGAGCCGTGCCGAAAAGATATTACGTTAAGTGTTTAAGATGTAGCGTGCTACACCTGGGGTAAAAAAATGTCACACATTGTCCGAAATTGATGTACCAAAAGCTACCCAGCGGCGCGGTGCGTAGCGCCGCGGTTTTACGTGCCACGATTTTTTATTCACACGCAAAAACAGCGACAGGGTGGCAACATATGCCCCCCCCCACTGGGGCGAAGGTTAACCAAGTAGGTACCATTATTCGTACTATTATCCTTTGCGCAAATCATACATCTCAATATACCTTAGTCCTTTGCCAAAATCCTCTATTTTTACAAATCCGGATTTTCTGATCAAATTGCAAAGTACCACGGTTCGGCTATTTATCATTCCTATTCAGCATTCGGTCCTGTGGAGACAGGTCATGTTTTTTTTTTTAGTTTTTTTTTGCCAGTCAGAAACAAGCCTTGACACGACTGGTCACTCAGCCTCGGAGCTTCTATCCCGAGAAATTAACCTGTGTTTGACTTGCACTACAGCTTCTTCCGGGAGGCGCATTTCTTTCAAACTGTGCAACATAGCTGTTTTCAGAGCCCAGAGGTTTGCTCTCGATGGTCTTGGCTACTTTCGGTAACGTTTGAAAAGCTAATCCTAATCGTTTCCACCAAACATCATTGACTACCGTTTTTTGTTCGTTTGTTTGTTTGCTTGTTTGTTTGTTTGTTTGTTTGTTTGTTTGTTTTAGATTATGGCCCTTTCATTTATTCCAGCACCACTGCAATTGAACTTTTGTAAACAAAGTTGTAAAACAGAGCGAACCGAAGACAACGTATTTATCTTGATTGGCTTTATGCTGATGCTGATGATCATGATGCGGTTTCTTGATGGTGAAATAATATGCTGTGTTTCTTCAGTGTCATCAGCATGCTTCTTTTAGACAATCCACTAATCTATTCCCTGTGCATGTATATTTCTTGTTCTCAATGAATGTTCTAAATTACCTCATTCATAGTCGGTCATCGTGATCTTTACCGTTTTGCATTCATATCTGGCAAAAACATTTTTTTAGGAGAAGACAGCTGACGTCTTTTCGCTCGGATGTGTCTTCCACTTCATCATCTTCCCCGGACAGCATCCTTTTGGCGATATGTCCCACAGGATGGCAAACATCCAACAGGGAAAACCGTGGTGAGTATACGTCTTCCTCCTAAGAGGGGTTTTGTTTATACATCTCCGAATGGCTTTGGTGATTTACCACTTACCAGGCTAGAAAATGAAAACAAACTAAATTATGCGATAAGCTATTATGCATTTAGCTATGAAACATGAAATATTAAATAGCAAACTAAACCTATATCATGAAAAATAAGCAATGCAGTTTTATTTTTGGCAGAAATTGGACGCTGTGCACGGGCTAGTTAAAATTTTAGCAGCATACCGCGTCCTTCAACAGGGGCATCAATACAAAAGTTGTTTGAACATTTCCTCTGGTGCTCATTTCTGCCGGACTTGGGGCTTATTATCCATTTTTAGGAGGAAAATCCACGGCACGTCATGCCCCAAACCTTGAAGTAAGCGAGACTGTGCTGGAGTGGATATCGCTGGCGCTTTTCTCGAGGCAGCGCTTCATTTTTGAACTTGGTGAAATCCTTTCTATATCAATGTGATCATCATATTGACATAGAAATAATTCCCCAATTTGATATGTCATGAAACGCTTTCCTCCTCACAATAATAACCACCCGACTGGGTAAAGCGTGACACTACGTCTCCCGCAACGGTCGGCGACCGTCGTTCCAATGCAGTGGTCGCTGAAAGTGATTGCGGCGACGCACACTCTAGGAGTTCGTCTGACGCATCCACTTCATCACTCGAATCAAAATCAGTCCCGTAGTGATGTCGACGGCACTTGACGGTGGACTTCACGATCCATCAGACACGGCGTCTCATTGTCACCGTTGATCACGCGAGGCGCACCGCCCGCCTCCGCCCACGACGGCTCCTTTATTTGACGGTGTCTACTTGGGGAGCCACTCGGCGTTAACCCGCGCCCCGCTGGGGGGGGGGGGGGCAGAATCTGCCCCCTCCCGTTTTTCGCCAATAACTTCTAAACGCGTTACGCCAGCGACGTCACTCTTTCAGCACCTTATCATACATCAATTTGACACGTTCCCTGAAAATTTTAGCGAAATCCGTCGGAAACAAAAGTTTGAAAAATTGACGTTTTAGTGACGTCATGTTCGCCATTTTCGCCTCAAAAACGGCAAAATTTCCAACGCCGCTAACATCTTCATTTTTGTAGGAATCAAGACGTAACAAAAAAGGTTATACGTGATTCTACTTTGTCTATCAAATGGCTATCTCGTTTTTTGAAAATTTTGGATTTTGGCCCAAAATAAAAGAATACTTTTTTGGGAAAATATTAATAATTGTAAAATCCAAAATTTTGAGTGTATCGAAAAACCGGAATATATGTCAGAGAAGTGGTCTATGTGCACCTACATTATACATACTAATTTCTAAAAGAATCGGTTCAAAAATGTGGGAGTGATTCAAAATTTTATGACGTCACGACACAAACATTTTGAAAAAAAAAAAATGTTTTTTTTTGGGAAGTTCTAGACCTTGTACGAAAACTAAAATAGCACCATTCGTTTGGCCGTGAAAAACTGCACCAGATAGACACCTTTTTAGGCCTTTAACCCGCGCACCGACGGGGGGCGGATATCCGCCCCCCCCTTGAGGTTTTTCGCGGATAGCGGGAAAACCGCGGCGCTACACGCCGCGAAATTTAGTACGACTATTCTCTCATCCTCGGTTTTTCGCGAATAACTCGCGTAAAAAGCGGCCGATCGCGATGACACTTTCAGTGCCCTCGAGTTAACCCGGCAGTTGCTGGGGTATTTCGCCACTTACCGTTTGCTGGGGGGGGGGGGGCGTTAAACGCCCCCAGCCGATAACTCGAGAACCAATGGGCGCAGCGAAACGCATGCAAGGCGGCAAACGAAAGAACGCGACGAGACGCTTCAGATGAGTACTTTAAATTTGAATTTTGAGGTCACAGGTCGGGTCAAGGTCAGGTCAAACACCTGAAATCGGGCTTTTAAGTAGCATGGACTTCAGGACTTCGCAATGGGCGCCTCTCGTCATAAACTCTGTCAAAACGGTGCACAATGCATCATATAAGGCCTACAAGGTGTCAGCTCCATGTAGGGGTCAGTCAAGCATAGGTCAGGGTCAAGGTCAGGTCAACCGGGTAGGCACATATCCCCGAAAATCAAAACTGATATTCGCAGCCTGTGACACATGTTTTATGTGTAATTTGGGGCGTAGAACACGATGGTGACATTCATTTTATCATATGTGTACGTGTTTGGCTCAAAAAGTTCAATTTAAGAAATGCATGTATCATGGTCGTAGAGTAGTCACGAGAAATTGCCAAAGTTCAGTTCAATATTTTGGAAAATGCGGAACGATAATCAATAATCGAAGATAGCCATTTGATTGTTCATGGTATTGGCAATCTAATGGCGTTTACAGCATGTCTGTATGTTTATTCTGTGATTTTATATGATTTTTTGAACATATGCCGTTTTTGGTCGAAAACTCAGAAATCATGACTCGATATCTCAAAAGTTTTCCGACCGATTTTTTGAAACTTTGGCACAACAAACTTCAATCTATTCCCTACAGGTACCCAAAATTTGGCGCGCCTGAGGCGCGCCGTTTTTATGCTATGGCCCGGCGAAAAAGGTGGGGGCGTTTAACGCCCCCCCCCCCAGCAACTCGCGGGTTAACCCGCGCGGGGCTGGGGTCTCCAGCCGAGCGCGCGGGGCTGGGGGGGAGGGGTAAATATTACCCCCCCCCCTGTTATCTCCCGAACTAATAGTCTGATTTGGAAAATTCAAACGCCAATCGAAAAATCTCATCACGAACAACTAAAAACATGTACTTAATTTAAAGTTTGAGGTCAAGGTCAAGGTCAGGTCAAGGGTACAAATTGCAAGTTTCTACAGTATCAGTATCGGCCTTGCACCGTAGTTGCCGAAGAATGGACTGAGACTGATTGCCCAAAACGTGTTCTTAGGCTACCAAGACAATATTCGTTGCATACAATCTCATTTAGAGGTCAAGGTCAAGGTCAGGTCAGGTCAGGTCAGGTCACCAAAAACAAAACATATAAATGGGCATGTGCAACACATGTTTTATGGGTCAATTTATTCATAGAATTCAATAGGCACACTCAATAGGTAATATGGACCACAGCTGGATGAATTTCAGGTCGAGGTCAGGTCAAGGTCAGGTCAAGGAAGGTCAAATTTTGAAGTTGGTTGTTAAGGCTTGACCCTCGCCCGTAAACGGTGTTTTGCCACCTTCGCCCATGCAGGGGGGAGGGGGTGCGACCCCCTCCCCTGGCGTTTGAAAATGGAGCGTCGTAGAGCTTAGCGGAAAAGACCAACGGATTGCTCTCAACGAGATCTCGCGATTGGTGGTATATTGTTTGGTCCTAGGTCAACATTTGACCTACTTGTCACCGGTCAAAGGTAAAATTTTCGGAAAAAAAATCTAACTTTTTCAGATTTCCGCGCCGATTGCGGCAAAACGGTAAGAGATATCGACTTGAAACTTTCACTATCGTGATCCGTGATCAATTCTCTATCGTTTGGTGTATATTTCGATGTCATAACTCTAAAGATGATGCGTTGGGAGCATCGGAAGTCTGCAAAGTCATTTGTGCATTGGGCCACGTCAGGCGTGTGACGTCACTGACAATCCATCAGTGTGTCAGGTCAGTCGGCATTTATACCAATGTGAAGCAATCTCCAATTTAGCGTAAATCTGGCCGGAGGTTTTGTATTTGTATTTTGTATTTGTACATACGGTCTCCATTGTACGGCTTTTACCACATGCCGAGATATCCCTTTAACATTAGCACGTGCATTTGGGAAATGGCTTCGGCCCGCCTCGGTTAACCCATTAACGCCCAGCGGTACCAAAAGGTACCAACGCACATTTTGGCTTGCTGCGTTGAGACCATACGTTTTCTCGCCACATAGATTCTGTCATTGGATAATCGTCTCCATTCCGGATATGCTGTTGGGTAAAAATAACGTGCTGCTAAGAAGAACTTCGTGTGAGGTGCAGAAAAGCGAGGAGTGTTTCGAGGCGCCACAGTCACTGGCTGACGTCGGGAGAAGGAAACGTTTGTATTTGCTTGTCTGTGAATATTTTCCTAGCCAAAGTGTGTTTACATTAAAGATTAAGAACTTGTAGCTGCAGTTAAGCAGAAAACCCGATGATTTGTCATGAATCCTGGCGTCCCTAGGGACAGAATTATTGTTGGCACCTTTTGGTACCACTGGGCGTTAAGCTAAGCGTTTTTTCGCAATTTCATGCGTGTGCGGTCTGTGCAGACGCGTAACAATGCTCAACGGAGTGATGCGGACAAATTGCCATTTGGGGCGCCATCCCTCAAGGGGACGCTATCGCCTAAAGAAATTGGGTGCGTAAGAGGAGCGCCTGTGAGGCCATAGGGGCCCCTATATGCAAAAGAGAGGCGCATATAAAGTTCATAGGGGCGATTCAATGCAAATGAGGATGTCCATAGGAGCGACTTTGATGCCCATAGGAGCACGTGCATGCGAAAGAGGGGCACCCGTGAAGCCTATAGGAGTGCCTCTGAGGTCCATGAGGCCCATAGTATATGTAGGGGCACCAACATGCAAAAGGGGCGCCGCCATGCAAAAGGGGCGCCCATATAAAGGTCAAAGTCGAACTTCTATACGAAAGCTTGGCCACTGCATCCCAAAGATGAACGCCTCTGAGGCATACAGAGAGAGGTGCGCCTATGAAGCCCATATGCCTCAGTGGGAACGAGGGGCGCCTGCTAGGTTTAAAGAGGCGCCCCTCTTTCGCCCACATGCGAAAGAGGGGGGCACCTAGGAAACCCATGGGGGCGTCTCTATGCGAAAAGGGGCGCCTGTGTAGGCTGAGAGTCTTTCGCGTAACGTTTCTCAGAGACGGTGTGCAGTTTACGGCAAACAGAATCTAAAAAGAGTTCGGAGGGGAGTGCCTTCGTCGCCCTCGCCGCTGAAACTGATGCATTCATTGCTGCTTGGTCATTCACGGCTGACGTGACGCATTGATGTTGGATAGGATATTTGCCCTATAATCGCTGGTATTATTGC